TTTTTTTTTTTTTCAAATAATAAACAGCCATAATTATATAGACTGATATATTATTTAAAATAATTCATTTCATTGAAGGTTAACACAAATATCTCCCTATAAAAAATGCCCCTAAAATCAGTTTCAGAGAGGAAATATTATATTATATAATATTAATTATTATATTATATTATATTATATATTTCTTATCTTTCTATCATCTTGACATTAAATTGTTATTTCAAGTGTTGACATGCTTGGTCTCCAGATGTGTACCTGCGTGCAGATCTCCAGGGGTTTCCGACTCAGACTCTGTGGCATCTCTCTGCAGCGGGTGGAGAGGTTGAGGATGGCGGTAGCAGCCATGTGCGCCGCCTCCATGTCGTGTGTGTAGTCGAAGCTGCTCTTGCTGCAGGTGCTGCTGGCGCTGCTCGCTCCTCCTCCTCCTCCACAGCTCAGGCTGCTGCTGCTGGGCCCGTAGCTGCTGGTGGTGCTGCTCGCCGAACTGGAGCTCTTGCAGTAGCGCTTCGCTGACGGGACACACAGAGCAGTGACATTAACATAAGCCCTATATGTGCAGACGTATGGGACAGTTCACAAAATACATTTCTGGTCTACATTTTGTTGTTTTAGTATTTAATTTCTCAATTATTAGAAATTAAAACTACAGCTGTTCACCAATGTGCTGTACATGACAAATGCACAATACAAAAAACATAATAAAACCTCTAGGGTTGGTTAAAAGCCTGAGCAATTAAATGTTTATAGCTTACATTAAAAATAAATAAATAAATACAAATTGATGGTGCAGTTCTAATTTAGTTCTAATTACATTGTTATACATATTCAGAGCTGCTACAGCAAAAGTAATTTTTTTTAACTTAACTTTAGTTTAGTTCTGGGAAATACTGAAACTATTATTGAGATACTATTATAGCATTTATTAATAGGTTGAATTAGTTTTTATTTTTATATTGTCTGTTTTCATTTTACAGTTATATTTTAGTAATTTTGGTAGTTGGTAGTTTTGTTACATATATATGTTACTATTTTTTAGTATATACACTGTAGCAATAAGTATTTTAACATATTCATGCAATTATTCAGTATACTATGAATCTGTGGCCAGGAAAGAATTCCATCTAATTACAGTCCACTGTTTCAGCCTATTATAAGAAATGGAATGAATACTTCAGCAAATGCATTTTTGCTTTTGTTAACACTACCAGTTAGGGTTAGGGTTGGGTTTAGTGTAAGGGGCACATTATTTTCAAACATGATAGAGCATTAACCTTTTAGTGCCACTCAACGGACATTTCATTTTCAAACAACCAGTGTAGTAAAACATTGCCAGATTCACATTAATCGTTTCTGATAAAACTGAATATGCTTTTAAGTGCCACTCACTGCTCATTTCACATTGAAAGTGTTGTGAAACAAATTATTTTGGCCATTATCCAAAAACCCATAGAAATGGCTATGTATGTCACACAACTGAGCAATAATATGGTTCTCTTGTTTGTGCAAATATGACAAACTCTTTTCTATCTGGCACCAAGTGTAGCCTGACTAATTTCATGGACTGGACGGATTTCATGACACAAAATGCAGTTACTTTAATGCATTTTGTACACAGAAAGACAAAAGCCATTTTGTCATGATGCACTGTATTTCATGTCAAATAATTCCTTCAGTCCAAAAGTTTGTCAAGCCACACTTGGTGTCCCATTACCTCACTGAAGAGGACATTTAGAGGTAGCACCTTATTTTACAAGGTCCTTACACATGTACAGTAATACGAGTAAATTATGCATAATTCAAGCAACTAACCCTAAACCTAACCCTATATAGTAAGTACATGTTGTTGATTAATATTACTCAGTACATATTTGAGTAATTACAATGTAAAAATGACAACTTAAAATAAAGTGTTATGCATGTAATAACTATGTACTTACTATAGTAGCTACAATACAATGCTAATAACTTAAAGCCAACCCTAAACCTAACAGTAACCCATGCACATGAAAAATGGCATAGGATTTACTTTGAAACACTCAGAAATTGCTAGTAAATTTCACAAATTACAAAAAAAGAAATGGCAAGTCACACATTGAATTAAGCATTTGAAGTAGAAAGAATGAAACCGTATTTTCTTGTAAAATTTTTTTTTTTTTTACAGGGTAGTCACCTTATATTACTCAGTACGTTCTGGGGTAAGTACTGTAAGTACACTGTAAGTAAACATACTGTAAAATAGAAAGCATAGAAACTCAGTATGTTAGATGTAGTGGCCTGTAGTCAAATCCCTTTGAAGAGCTTGAAGGGTTGTTTATTATGATGATTTTGATTATTATGAGGAGATTTTAAATGATGGGGTGGTGAGGGGGGTGTCGGGATGTAGGTGAGAGACGGAGAGACACTCTCTGCAATTTGACAAAAGACACAATGAGCCACAACCACCAGCTGGGCATCAAAGTGACATCTCCCACCGGACGTCCTACTGCTATCGCTCTCTATCTCTCTCTCTTCTGCATTCCTTTTACTCTATCTTCTCCCTCCAGTCTGGTCATTAAAGCATGGCCGGGAATCTCAGTCTTATGCACAGAATTGCAATTAGCAGCAGCCCTAAATCCAGACTTTGATTTGCCTAAACTGCCTCATTCATTATGCATCTGCCTCCAGATGATTTCCATACATTTCCATACCTCAGAAATACAGTGAAGGAAGATCTCGGAGGTTTTTCTAACAGGGTTTAGTTCCTTGCCAACCATTATAGCTTTCTCAGACCTTAACATTGTCAAATGTTCAAGAGTCATAGTGATAATAATGATCATACATCGGCCACAGAAAGTATATGAAAGATTAAGACTTATTATTTGCTTTATTGGACAACATATCATCAAACCAAGCGACATTTATTGAATTATATTGGAAATAAATGTAGTTTAAAATCATAAAACAATAGATTCAGCAAATAACGACATAGACTGTAGTTTACAGTTTATAGTTCAAGTGATGAACTACACCTGTGGTTCATATACTGTATATATATATATAT